CCGCGAGGCCAATCTTGTCAATACTCGGGGGGGGGGGCGCACGGGTAGGGTAGGGTCAGAGATGGACTTAAATAAACATCGCTCTAAACGGCCCCCAGAAGGCGGCAGTGTCAGCATCCAGCTGGAATCGTTCCCCTAACCCCACCTTGGGAGAACCCCTCCACTACGACTCCCCGAAGTACAATCGGAGAGGCGTAAGACTCGAGCTTGGGGGACTCGAAATTGCAAAACGGGGCCATCAAAAACGTGGCGGGACCGAATCTGAAGCTTGACGCGAACTCCCGCTGCAACCATCTCACGAAAACCGGACCGGCAAGACTCCCGCTGAGCCGTCGAAAACGGCGGCAAGCCCGCGCCGTCACGAAGTCGAACCTGACGCTCCCCCGATGCACGAAGGTGGCGGGATCGCGACTGCGATGACTGGCCGCTCCTCGTCATGACCTTTCGGGCGGCTTCCCACCAATACGACCGCGGAGAGCAGGCGTCGTGCTGCCAAGCGGCACGCCGCGTCAGGAGCGAAGGAACTGCTCTGGACACGGCTGGCCTCGGCCACGACGAGGCTCCCCGACCCAGATCGCAGGAGCGACCCAGAAAATGAAGCCCCTCTGGTCCCGACGCCCTCGCGGATCTTCCCACGAGCGAAACGCTAGTCTTGTGCATGCCACGACAATGGACACCCTAACACTCCTGTCATCGAATTTAACATGTGCTCAACACGTCGGAAAATGTTCTAAACATGTTTCAAACGTGCTTTTTACATGTCTAAACATGTTTAACACATGCTTTAGACATCTGGAACTTATTTGGCAACATGCTTCCTCTCCGTTGATCGTCGTCCACAGTGCCAGCCTCCCAGGTTTTCGGGAGCCCCTCCGCCGCCCAGCCTGGGCACTCGGCCTCCCGTGCTCCCCGTCACAGATCCTGGCGCACGTCGTGAGATCTCGCTGGTACCCGAAGTGTGTTCTGGGTGCCGAGTTGTTGTGGATGCCATGACAGTGGACACTCTAACAGTCCTATCACTGAATTGAATATGTGATTACAATGCGTAAACCATGTTCGAAAAACGTTTCAAGCATGCTTTTACATATCTAAAACCTGTTTGAAACATTTGTTTTAGATATGTGGACGTTAGTTGGCAGCATGCTTCCTCTCCACTACAGTCGGGCTGCTGAAATAAGGAACGCTAAATAAGGAACGAAGCCCCTCTGTGGCTTCAAAAAAGCCTGGGTGCACAAGAAGGGCTAGAGGAACAACGACGGAAGGACGTAAGGAACATCGAGCCCCTCCCGAATCCAAACTGTTCCTTATTTCAGCGTCTTGGCTGTAATCGACTTCCACAACCGAATTGCAGAGCTTCGCGGCACGGAGGTGACCCATCACAGTGCCCAGCCGAGCCGCCTCGGCCGCCGTGGGGGTACGTGCACGCGTCTGGCCGCGTCCAAGGTGCAGGCAATGCCACGGGGGGGGGGGTCGCCACATCCTCGAGGGAGCGGACCACCCTGTACCCCCCAGGACCACCAGGATCCCCAGAGGCACTCCCAGACGTCCCAAATCTTCTCGATCCCCGATGATTTGGGAAGAGCTGGTGACCCCGAGCTGCAGGTACAAACACCAGGGTGCGCGGGCCTTCGCACGAAGCACCTTTTACACATCATGTTGAACGTCGTACACTCGCGAACCAATCCCAAACGATGCCCACTATACGATGGCGGTGGCGAGCGCCGTTTCATGGTTGTGCTCCAGTCCCCTATCCCGAGGCGGTGACCCCCCTTGGCGCCGTCCGAAGCGCACACCTCAACCGCAACCCGGGCCGGGGCAGGCGCCATCTGGGGCGCCACGACCCCGCTCTGACGGGGCAGCGGCGGTGCGCACCGCGAGAGCCCACCGCATAGACGTTGCCCAGGCTGTCGCTGAACAGCGGCCGCAGCCACACGCGGTAGGCCACGACAGTCGCACCGCCGGTGTCGTCGGGTGGCGCCCACTCTACCCACAGGGGCGCGTCGGAGAACCTGGAGGGGAGGAGGGAGGAGGGAGGAGGGAGGGAGGAGGAGAGAGGAGGGAAGAGGGAGGAGGGAGGAGGGAGGAGGAGGAGGGAGGAGGGAGGAGGGAGGAGGGAGGAGGCTCCCCGAACGGGACAGTTTGGGCAGCGCCGAAGCCGCGGAGGGGCTGAAGCGACAGCAAGGCATTGCTGTTCCAGGGCGGCCCTCGGGGTTGCCAAAGGTGTCCACCCCCAAGGCCCACGCACTGTCTCACATCCTCCTCCTCCTCCTCCTCCTCCTCCTCCTCCTCCTCCTCCTCCTCCTCCTCCACCAAGACATGGCTGCGAAATCCCTTGGCAGCCATGTCTTTGTTGCCCATGCTTTCGGGACGTCTTGGAGCCACTGGGGCACTCTGGGCCCCCCTGGGGATCCTGGGGACACCCTGGGCCAGGGCCAACTATGGCAACATCCGAAGCTCTGGAGGGAGGTCATAGAAAATACGCAGGGGGTGGGCCGGGTGGCCCTGAAACCGCGTAGTGGCCAACCCGCAGTGGGTGAACCCGAACGCCGAACTGTGTCAGGGTAGAACGGAGAACGTGTTTTTCGTCTTTTGTGCAACGACATGCGCAGATCGCCGAATCGGACAAACCCCAGCGTGGACCCTAAACAATGGGTTCTTGCACTTTCGATGTGCACTCTCCATGGTTAAACCAATGTACCACGTGTACCAACATGTGTGGCGTATCGGTATTGTGTGCTGACTGTCCGCAGATATGTATATATGCATGTGTGTGTGTGTGTGCAAAGTGCGTTGCGCGATGTATGTGGCCATCGCTGACCCCTCTACATTGGCCAAGTGACCTTGCCAGGCGCACAGATGATCCTTTTTCTCTGGTGCTCGTGCACAGGCGAGAGCATTGCGAAAAAGGTTCCGTCCGAAGTGTCGTGATCTCGATATTCAAGCACGCACGCCGAGGACACACAAAGGCTTTGTCAAACAACACACCCCAGGGTGGGAAGCAAAGGGAGGGAGACTTGAGCGAATGGATACAGACAGGCGGGCCTCAGCGAGGGGAGAACTATAACAATCAAATATTATAAACATCACTGACCCCTCTGCATTGGCCCAGTGACCTTGCCAGGCGCACAGATGATCCTTTTTCTCTGGTACTCGTGCACGGGCCAGAACATTGCGAAAAAGTTTCCGTCCGAAGTGTCGTGATCTGGATATTCAAGCACGCACGCCGAGGACACACAAAGGCTTTGTCAAACAAAACACCCATACCATCATCACTTACTGGAGGGCCTCCTGAAAAGACTGAAAGGCTGAAGCCTCCGCTGCAGTGGCTCGCCGGGCGAGCTCAACAAGAAGACGAGCGGCCTGAAGCAACAGTCGGCCGCTCTTCTCGTATCGTTCCACAGACTTAGGATGGGCCCACCGGCCACGCTTCTGAACCATAGCCAGGCTGCGTGGATTCACCAGGACGTCATGGCTGGGCGCAGAGTACCGGGCGACATGTGGTGTGAGGTGCCCGACTCTGTCCAAAAGGGGGGTTCGACTGCACTTTCTGAAGAGGGCCTCGTACTTAGCGAGGGTCAAGTGAAGAAAAACGAACTCATCAGCACATGCGTCAGGCGAACGGCGGCGGGCCCACATCTTCAGAACAGAGCCTGCCCATTCACGGCCTGGCGAGTTGAGAACAATGGTGTCGTCGCTCTCGCCTGTCTTGGTGGTTTCGCCGAGGTCGGAATTGCCGATGACGACTGCCCACCTCCCTCGAAACAGCGAAGAGACGAGAGGGGGGAAGGCCGAGCCGCGGAGCACAACTGGAGCTCGCAAATCTCTGACGGCCTCAGGTAGGCGTCCAGCTGGATGGCAAGGGCGACGGCGGCGTCCACGTGGCGGTCCTCCAGGAGAGCCGTCATAAACAAATACGATACGGACAGCGGCCAAGGATGTCGAGACGAGCCTGGGAATCTGCGAGACCAACCCTCCATGGCCTCCCGCGACATAACAAGATGAGCGGGCTTGGAGATGTCCGATCGAGGGTAGAACGTGAGGAAGCCCCAGAGAGCATATCGGCCCTCCGCAGGGTGCCTGGCGTCCTTCATCAGGGTGTCAAATTACTTGCACATGCGCTGATCGATCTTGGACTCTGAAGCTTGCCTCAAGTCCTCGGAGCGCGTGGCCCAGTCGAAGAAGTCCCGGACAGCGACTCCATATCGCTCAAGAGAGACAACGGTGATGGAACCGAAGCGGGCCACACCCCCATCCACGAGGGCAGGGGCTCGGGGTCCGAAGCTGAAGTCCTGGCCCTTGATGGCGTCCACGAAGCTAGAGACGCGGGAGCGGCGGCCAGCGACCCCTCGGGCCTCTCTTGAGGCGGGGCGCTTGCTTCCGGGCTGCCTCGAGGTTGGTGTCCTGGCCGAAGACGATGCACGGCCGTGGGCGATCGCACCTGCTCTCGAGGGCGCCCGGGTCGGCAGCTGCAACAAACCCGAGGTCAGGTTCCGCTTGAAGCCGCTGCCGAGCCGGTCGGAGGCGCCCGCTGGAACGCGAAGCCAGCCGTCGAGTAGCATCGCGCAGCCGGCTCTCGAGGTCACCGTCGTCTGGAGCGCCAGGGCTGCCTCGGGCACCTGCGGGCGCAGACATGGCCGCGGCCCGTGCCCATGCCGTGCACAACTGGCGAGGATAAGCCCCCGCACCTGCGGTGCGATTGCGACAGACACGAGCCCCAGATGGCAACGTGACCGTTTCGAAACCTCGGAGCTCCACGTGGGCGTGACCCTTCGAGCACGCCGAGCCCAAGGACGACATGGCAAATAAATTCGCGAGGATAGAGGTTGGCTTCTTGCGCGGGGCCCCATAACTACAGCGCACGAGGGAGACGCGCGTCACGTCTGGGAGGCCACTGAGCTCTCTCACGGGGTCGAAGTCCCAGAGTCTTGAGGTCCTAGGGTCTCGATGATCCAGAAGATCCCATTGCTTGAACATTCATTAGCCACACGGCAACTAAACAGTGCTAAAGCAATACCTATGCGTTCTTTACGTCTGGCTCTGTGTCGAACTCTGGACCAAACGCAACAGGGGGTGCCCGTGTGCACGTGCCAGAACAGCCCCCGTCGCATGCCCTGCAAGACAATGTTCTGAACCATCGGGCCCAGGAGGTCGTAGTGAGTCCCGTCCTGAATGTCCATGCATGGGAAGGTCCTCAGGTCGAGCTCCTCGAAGGCCTGCGAGAGCCCACCCTCCCCGGAGAACAGCTCCAGGAAGCCCTGGCCCTGCCGGGCCCGTCTGAGAAGCTGAGCATGCCCAGGGCGAAGAGGGGGGGCGGCGGCTTGGATGATCACCGAAGGCGTCGACGTGGATGATGGGCACGCCGATCGATGAGGTGCGTCATCACATTCTTCGGAAGACTGCGCACCCAAATGCTTGTCGCTCTCGGCGCCGGCGGGCGGATGCCCAGCGAGGCCGAGTCCAGGAGGCAGAGCGTTCGCGTTCACGACGGTGCCCACGGGAGAACGAGGGAAATAAGATATTGAGGTGTCTTTCTGACCCTGTTTGGAATAACCTTTGTCGGGGGAGTGCTGCTCGAACCGACGGGGAGGAGCGTCGGCCGCATTAAACTTTGTGTTGACATGCCGCAGCTCCCCAACGCACCCTACACCCGATAGTGTGGGCCGCCGCGCGCCGGCACTGTGCGTTCAGGGCTGCTGAGTGACTGGGCCGCCCTTTGTCGAGGCAGCCAACGCATGCCATGGAGTCCACAAGAGACGCGAGGCCTCGACGCGTGGCGCAACCCCATCACGGCAGCCCGGGTCTCCTTCGCGTTGATGTGTTCCCCCGGCCACCGCCGCCGCTTGGCCGCAACCAGTCTGGAGCCGTCGGGGTCGAACCAAGAGGCTGGCAGTGGCGGTGCCAGGGGCCCCGTCTGCAGGAAGGCGCTCTCGCTGCCGGGGCCCCGACGGTCGGGGCGGAGCCGGCGACGAGTGCGAGGGCGCCAGGGGCCGTCGGACGGCGAGCCCTCCTCCGCCCTGCTCTGAAGCCACTGGCCGAAGGCGGTGGAAGGGGCCAGCCCCTGCGGAGGGTGAAGAGGCACGGCAGCGGGGCTCGGCCTCGTCGTACTCGAGGCACGCGTCCGCGTGGCCGTAGCCCCCCACGTCGGCAACGTCTGCCGGAGAGACGAGGCCCGCGCGGGGCCCTCGGAGGTGCCGCCTGAAGCCCCAGCGGCAGGCGGGGCGCAGCTCGCTCTCGGGGGCCCTCTTGTACAGGGCCCGTGCCCGTGGTCGGCGGAGTCGCTGGCGTAGACGCGAGGCGCATAGGCCGCGGCCAGGTCGACCTCTGTCAGCCAGACGAGCCCGACCACGATGCGCATCTCCTGCATGACCTCCCGCGGCAGGGCGGCCCGTGCGCCCCGCGCGGTCTCGGCAAACAGGTAGGTGGCCGAGAGCGCCGCGTAGCCGGGCCTGGCCAGCATCAGCAGCGAGACAGCGTGGCCGAGCCAGACCTCCATGTGCTCACCACGCATCTTTCCCCGTGCCAGTAGGGCCCGAGTGGCCAGGTCGAAGCGCCAGACTCGGGGGGCTTTGTTCCGAAGGCGCCCCCTCTTGAGGTCGATCTCGGCCCCGACCGTCTCGAGGTGGGTGACCGCGTCCAGGTAACTCCAAGCGACAGGGGGGCCGCAGTGCTCGGCCTCAGCACGCAGGGCGGAAGCAGCCTCGCGAGCCAGGGGCGCGTCGCGGCCCAGGACAATGATATTGTCAACGTAGACACTGCCCATCACCTTGGACTCGCAGAGGTCGGGGGCCGGATAGTGCTCTTTCACCGTGGTGGGCTCCGCGGTCGGGGAGGGCCGAAGGGCCCGAGCCGTCGTCGCTGAGACGGCCTCCTGCGCGACATGCAAGGCACAAGATCACCCCATGCACATAGCACGCATACACGGGTAGAGCACCATGTCGTCCTCCGCCAAGACCATCCTGTTCAGGTCCGGGTCGCAGAAGGCGCCGACGTAGATGCCATGGATGTCCCTGATCGTCACAACCGGCAGCGGGTCGTCGAAACCCAACCACTCAGCCAAGCCGTCGATCGCAAAATTGTAGATGCAGTCCTCTACGTCGGCCTCGTTCCCGCGGGGGTCCCAGCCGACGATGCTGCCGACGCCGTCGAACGAGCCGTCCCCGATGGAGAAGTCGAGGTCGTCGGGGGCGCCAGCCGACCCACGCCTGGAGGTCGGCGGCGCACGATGACAGGAGTTCGCCTGCCTCGCATCAACTATCATTCTGATCTCGCCGGCGTCCTTCTTTTGCGCGACAAAGAGAGCGGCCCGAGCACGAAGCCGACGTCTGGAAGTAATGAGCCCGAGCTCGTGCAACACTCGGAACAAACGCCAGCGCTCCAGCCGACTTGGAAAAAGTATTGGATCCCAATAAGGTCTGATGGGGTCGGTCGACTGGCGCATGAACTCCATCTCCCCTTCATCCTTCTCGATGCGCTGTGCTGGGTTGCGGGCCGTCTCCGCGGCTAGCGGTGGCAGGAAGTTGGCCACGGAGCGCGGCCGCGCGCGGCCCTTCGCGACCTTGAGCGTTGTCAGGTCGAACGGCGCGAGGCTCTTCGGCCCCTGGGAATGCAGGTCCTTGGGCGCCAGCAGCTCGCGCGCGGCCCCCTCGGCCGTCAAGCCAGGGGGGGGGGGGGGGCCCGCGGCGTCGACGCGCTCTACAATGCTGTCCAAGATCCAGTCCTGGACGGCGGTGGGGGTAGAACAGGCCGGCTAGCCTGATGAAGCGCATCTGAATTCGGTTGAGCAGCAGCGAGATGGCTGAGCGAAGCCCGTGCCGAGACTGCCCGCTGTCGCTGCTCATGGCGCGCGTCTAGCTTCGCAAGCTGAGACGCAGGAAAATGCGGCAGCGGGAAGGGATCTCCGCGCCGCCGTATTGAGGGCCTCCAACGAGTAGGCCGTCCCCGATCCTCTGGGGCAGCGCCGGACTGAGCTCGGGGACCCAACTCAGCCCGGAAAGCCTCGGTCACCCCGAGGCCTCATCCCCGCCCGCACTCTTGTCGCCCTTGCCTCGGGCACGATTGCCCTTGCGGCCGCGGCCCTCGTCGGTGTCCGACGAGCCGCGGGCGGTCTGCAGGGCGCGCTGCTCCTCGTTCCACAACCGAGTCTGCTTGTAGATGGCGGCCTGCTCCTTGAGCCGACCGGTCACCCACTCTGTGAACTTGCTCTTGCTGGCCTGGCCCTGCTCGGTCGTCGGGGCGTGCAAGACGATCTCCAGACCTCCGTAGTCTGGGTGCCGGGGTATGCGGGCGACTGCAGTCTCATCTTGGCAAATCCTTCGCATGATGAGTTCGAAACTCGACAAGTTCGTGACGTCGAGCTGGTCGGTCTGGATCGCCAGCCGGACCGCCTCGCACAGCACGTAGTTGATGTGCGCCACCGCCGAGGACTCACTCACTCCCGAACGGCGCGCCCATTGCCCATGATAAGAAGTCATGTCGCCGGGCCCGTCCCTGATCGAGACCAGCCATTCTTTGGCGACGCGGGGGTCCGGCATGACCTAGTCGTCGAAGTCAGTCTCACGCATCATCGCGACCGCCTCCGCGAGCGCGAGGTGTCGACGCCCTGAAGCGTCACGATGATAATCCAGAAGTCGCAGGTCACCAGCTCCTGCATGGCGCGCCGTCTTCCACGCCTCGAGGTTGCCGACCTGGACCTTCTCAACGAAAACCTCTAGGCCACTCACGATGGCGACGCCCTTATTCTGCCCCAGGGTGGCCTGCTGGACCTCCGGGTCGGTCAAAATCTGCCCGAACCTGAAGTGGGACGCCTCGCTGATCACCCATCCGAAGTTCTCCATCTCCACATCCTGACCGTCGTCGCCCAGGATGGCTGCCTGCACAGCCACGTGTCTCTTGGGGGCAAGGATGTCCGCCCTCGGCACAGGATCGAGGCCATACGTCTGAGCACGACGGCTGGCGGGGAACATGGCGTTGCGCTCGAGCACGATGTGTCTCTGCTCGAGAAGATTGTGTCGCACCAGCTCTAGATCGGGAGCGATCGCAATCCACGCCCCCGCTGTGATCTTCTTGACCAGTGTGCGGTGGTGCCACTCTAGACCCGCCTCGTCATCGGGATAGTGAACGAGAACTTGGGGTTCGGGGATGTCCAACATGTCCATCTTGGAGACTGTTGGGCACTGCTGCTGCTGTCGGAGGTGAGCTCGGGAAAACGCCGAGGGCTCGTGCAGCGAAGCAGCGCGCCACGCCGAGCAGGAAGATCGCGAACCAGCTCACTACAACGCCGATGAACACGCCCAGCGCCAGCCAGGTGCTCCAGGGACAAGGAGTCGCCGTAGGTGCCGCTGGGCACTCCGCTGGCGACGCCTGCCCGCCGCAGGTGCACGAGGGACAAGCCGGGCAGGGCGGGCAGCTTCCGCACGTGAAGGCCGGGGGCGCTGGGCACGCCAGTACTGATGGGCAAGGAAGGGCCGCGGGACACCGACTGAGGTATGCCAACAAGCCGTTGGCAGCCAGATCTGGGAGGCGTTGCCACATCGGCCCTCGAGACTTGAGCGAATGGACACAGACAGGCGGGCCCCAGCGAGGGGAGAGGTATAACAATCAAATGTTATAAATCGTGCATGGTATGAAGTGGAAGGTTTGTGGCGCATTTGTTATGGACCAATATCTGTGGTGCAGGCTGTGTCGTGCAATCCGTATCGTGCAATATACGCTGGGGGGCCCCGAAGCCCCTTGTAATGAGAGCCCGCGTAGACCCCGCACAATGTGATGCAGAGTGTTCCTAGCAAGCTATGTTGTGCACTCTGTGTGGTGCAATGTCTGTGGTGCAACCCATGTGGCACAACCGATGGTTCCTGCAATCTTCGTTGTACAATCTATGTTGTACAATCAATGTTGTGATATCTATGAGGTGCAATTGTTTTGTACAAGCGAGTTGACACATCCCATGCTCTTGCAAACATCCCACCCACCCACCCGCAAAACCAATGCGGTGGCGATTGCGATGCGTGCTTGACGTTGGCTGGTGCATGCCTGCGGCTGCGTCAACCCAAGCGCGCACAGCGGCCAGCTAGTTTGGCGCGACCGACGCGGCCGCGGTGACGCTGACCGCAGGGCACATCCCAGCGGGCACTTCAATGCGAGTCGGCGACCTGGGCAGGCGCAGCATCATGGCAACGTCGACGAGGGTAGACACGTTGGTAACAGTCGCGATGCTGGTGACGATGTTGACAACGACGACGGCGCGGTCAGTGCGGGCGCCGATGCTGATCACGCCGACGGCGATGACGGCGTCCTCGCGTCGGTGGTGCAAATGTTGGAGGAGTTCGACGTGCGCGCGCGGCCGGCGCGCGAGAGTGGCCCGCATGGTATTATTTGGCACGGACCGTGCCCCCCCTTTTTTTGATTAAATACACTTGGGCGGGCAAGACGCGAGACGAAAAGAGAAGAGGCCCGTCCAGGGGTAAGAAACATGGAAATCCGCGGCCCCTCTGGGAGGATTTCCTTACCCAGGCACCCGAACAATGAGTACGCCAGCCTGGCCAGCAAGCTGAGGCTGAACAGCGACTGGCACTGGGCACAAACAATGGGTCGCCTTTGGCACCGGGGGGCACGATTTGTCCGCCCCATTGGTGCCGACAGGATGCACCAGCAAACTGTCAGAACGGCGGAGGAGAGGAAGAGGACGAGGAGGAGGAGGAGGAGGAAGAGGAAAGGAGGAACGGGGCGAGAGAGTCCAGCCAAACGCTAGGAGCAGCAATCAAGCCAACCTGCAATAGGCGAGCCATCGCGCGCACCCTGGGATAGGAGCACTGGGCGGTGGGGCAGGCTTAGATACCGCCGAATGACCTCGCCCGACTGCTCGGCAGTCTGGGCGCCCACATATCCGCTGCAGCGCAAGCGAAGCGAGAGAAAAAAAGGAGAGAGACAGGCGGCAGCGGAAAACAATGCTACAACAATGCCTCGGATTTGCATCATATCCAGGCGGGCTGGGCAACCCGGGGTATCAAATACAACTAATAAGATTAAGCGAGCGGCGCACCGAATTACGACCGAGCAAAGCAGAGGCGGAGAGACCCCCGGGAGCAAACCCAAAAACAGGGGAGGGGGACATTCTGTACAAAACGGAAGTTTTGTACGGAATTTCCCCCTTCCATGTCTTGGCCCCCGCCCGCGGGGGGGGGGGGGGGAAGAAGAGGAAACGAGGAGAGAATGGACAAGGTGGGAGGTGCTATGTAATAAATTATTGCAAAACGAATTCGTACATTCACGGCCCCAAAATGCCTCCAATAGGCTCACAGGAAGCTCCCAGGAGGCCCCAAGAGTGTCCCCAGAAACTCCCAAGATGCCTCCTCCTCCTCCTCCTCTTCCACCTCCTCCTCCACCTCCTCCTCCACCTCATCCGCCTTCTCCTGATCTTCCCCGCCACCCTCCCCCAAATGTTCCCCGAAGGGTTTCCACAACGGCTGGGGGAACACATGGTCCGATAACTCGGCAGAACTCTTGCCACAACGCCTGGCCACTTGGGCGATTCCAAAAGGCAGGGGGCGGCATTGATTCGCCGTAGGCGTCTTCGATCACGCCAGCGTCTCAATATGCGCTGGTGGTTCTGATCCGCCCCCGCATGATGTTCCCAAATGCGCCAAAGCAGCGCGGAGACGCACCGACGCGACTCTGAGATCCCATTATGATAGAGAGAGGGCCGGCGGCAGGAGGCGAAGCCCTTATGGATATAATGCATGCGAGCTCTGAGGTGAAACATATGTTGTGCAATGTGGGGGTGCAACCGCGATGCGCGTCCACCGAGAAGAGAGATATGCTGATACCGCAAGTTGCTCCCACCACTGTCGGCCAACGCAAAGGCCAACTATTGGAAACCGTAAATGCTTGCCCTGACTCAAGCCAGGAGCCTGATGGGGAATGTGCACAGGGGGTGACCAGCGGTGAAGCGGCATAGCGGCATAGCCCATGGAAGACAACAACCGAAACGACGAGGAATTAATCCATTCGTATGTGGAGAGAGAGCGAGAGAGAGAGGGAGAGAGAGAGAGAGAGAGAGACAAAGAGAGAGAGAGAGAGAGAGCACGATAGAGAGAGAGAGAGAGAGACAGAGAGAGCCAGAGAGAGAGAGAGAGAGTGAGAGAGAGAGAGAGTGGTAGAGAGAGAGAGAGAGAGAGAGAGACAGCCGACTTGACCGACAACTTCCCAACCCCTTCTGAAGGTCAGGCGGCTACAAGGCGAACGATTCAGACACAAGAAGCCATTGCGACTGCGAGGAGAGATAGAGAAACGCTGGTGAGAGTAACGGCGCCGTGCGCTTCATCTGCTCGATTCGCCCTCGCTGCCTCTGCTAGCGACGGGCGCCTGCGGAGGCGGGGAGATGGGCCACTGAGGACAGCGCAATGCGCTACGTGACGCTCCAGCGACATGCCTGCGCTGTGTGATGCAACAACGACGCGGGCTGACCAGGTCAGCCACCGAAGGAGCAGCGAGGTCCCGTGTGGGTCCGCGTGGCCCCCGACTGCGTTGGACCTCCCAGGAGCCCACGAAAGTGGCGACAATTGCGCAATTCGCAACCATCCATGGAGATGCGAGGTCCCGTCTGGGTCCGCGTGACCCCCAGCACCGCTGGACCTCCCAGGAACCCACGAAATTGGTGACAACGGCGCAAGTCGCAGCCACCCAGTGAGCAACGAGGTCCCGTCTGGATCCGCGTGGCCTCTGGCACCGCTGGACCTCCCAGGAGTCCACCTGGGTCCGCGTGGCCCCCCGACTCTGCTGGACCTCCCAAGAGCTCACGGAAGTGGCGACAATTGCGCAGTTCACAGCCACCCAGGGAACCGCGAGGGCCCGCCGGGGTCCGCGTAGCTCCCGACAGCCCCGGAAGGAGCCGCGAGGTCCCGCCTGGGTCCGCGTGTGCCTCCACCCCGCTGGACCTCTCAGAGCCCACGAAGGTGGCGACAGCTACGCCTTTCACAGCCACCCAGGGAGCGGCGCAAGACGAGGCAGGAGGATAGAGGAGGCGGGAGGAGGTGGAGACCACAGTGCTCTCTTCAAAGCGAGTTTGGGAAGAACACACCAGGGATCATAATGCACGCCTCCTTGTTGCAACCTGGGTCTCCGGCGGAACGGTACGGGCGACCCCAGAGCGCCATCGGCGGGGCGCAGCTATTGGAAACCATCCCGAGGCTCGAAAACCGCCGAGAACTGACGAATACGACTGCAATCTTCGAACCTCGAACCGTTTTTTCGCCCGCCCGAGAGGAAGGAGAGCGGGAGGGAGGGAGGAAGGGAGGGAGCAAGGAAGACGAGGAGGAGAAGGACGAGGACCAGTGTAAACCCAAGGGTCACCAACAATGTTGCAATGAGCCCTCTCCCAGGCTCCCTCTTCACAGGACACTACAATGGTTCATTCTACAGAGGGAACTGCCTCGTTGGAAGACAACCATGTGAAGACCCTGGAGCATGCCAAAACATTGTTCTCCGGATTCCATCGCCACGGATCAACCTGACTGTTGCGTCTTGGCGGTCCTGAGTCGTGCCAGAACGCCGTTCATGTGACTGAGACGCCGCGCATCAACGTAAGTGTTGCACCCTCAAAATCTGGAATCTTTCCAAAACGCTATGTTTGGTATGCTGATCGTGGGAACCCGTGAAATTCTTGCAAATGTTTATGACTGTGCGCGGCGCTAATGCGAGAGCCACATTTTGAAAAAGGAACCGCCCTACATCCGTGAAGCATTTGCACATGTTTAAAGCGAATGTGCGCGGCGCTAAGGAGAGAACCGCACTTTGAAAACCATTCGGCCTCAATCAGCAAAGCTCTGGCAATTGTTTTCAACGAGCGTGCGCGGTGCTAGGGCGAGAGCCGCATTTTGAAAACGACCCGCCCTCAATCTGTGAAGCTGTTGCCTAAATCTGAACTTCAAGGTCATAAGTGGGAAGGAAGTCTCACGCGAAACGCGCGGCCCGCCCTAAAATCTAGCCTCGGGATGCGACAAGGAACAATGATTTATAAGGGATCGGAAATAATAAAGGAATGGAGGAGGAGGAAAAAGAGGAGGAGGAATAGGTTTGGCAGCTCCGACCATCGGATTCAACGCCATCAGTTCACAGTGATAAGGGGAGGGAGAGAGGAGAGAGATAGGAGGAGAAGGTGGAGGAGTTGGGAGGGAGAGGGCGAAATGTGAGGACCAGGAGAAGAATATGGGGATGATAGTGAAGAGGAGGTGGAGGAGGGAGGGAGGACAACGCCACAAGCATAGCACTGGAAGTTTTCCTGACGTCAAAAGGGAAGGAAGAAAAAGGAGGAGGTGGATGGGGCCCCGCCAGCATGACGAACCCAGGACGAAAATAATACATCGGGTGAGGATAAACCGAAAACCTCTGAGATCCGGCAGTTCTGAGGGATGTCTCGGGCGCTGCGGCATTCTCACTCAGAGCATGCTGGAACGCTCTGAGAGCGTTCTGGAACGCTCTGGAGTCGCCGCCGCTCGGACGTCCATTCCCCGTGCATGTTTCGGCTTCGTGCCTGTGTGATGGCTCGCGAGATCATCCGGGATGCCCCTCGATGGCCCTCGCCTCCCATGAAGTGCGCGCGTCCGAACGATGCCGAGCCGAGAGCGTTCTGGAACGTTCTGGAATGCGTTGATCCTCGTCCTCCCCCCCCCCTTTCCATGGGCGGCGGCCCCTGGCGAACCTCCGGGGAGAGGAGGGGGGGGGGGGAGGAGGAGGAGGGGGGGGGGGAGGAGAGGAGGAGGAGGAGGAGGAGGAGGAGGGAGATGAGGAGGAGGAGGAGGAGGAGAGGATGAGGATGAGGAGGAGGAGGAGGAGGAGGAGGAGGAGGAGGAGAGGAGGAGGAGGAGGAGGAGGAGGAGGAGGAGGAGGAGGAGGAGGAGGAGGAGGAGGAGGGGGAGGAGGAGGCCAGCGTAACATCGTCCACGCCCCCCCCCCACTAGGCCTGGCGGTGCGCGGTGTCCTGGGCCACGTTCGGCCGCAGGCCCCGCAGCGCAGCGCGCGCGGCGTCGAGGTTGGTGGAGGGGGGCGCAGGGCAGAGGGGGGCGGAGAACGAAGAGAGTGATAAACATGGTGAGCGACATAAGCTTCTCCGAGGACAGCGATGGTGCAACTCGGGATCCCCCATCTTTGTAAAGGGTCGGGCGACAAAGGGCGGTGGCGGAACTGTTGCCTAAAACTGAACTCCAAGGTCATTATTTGTAAGAAAGTCGCAAGCGAAACGCGCGGCCCGCCCTAAACTCTAGCCTCGGGATGCGACAAGGAACAATTATTTATAAGGGATCTGAAAAAAAAGGTAAAGGAATGGAGGAGGAGGAAGAGGAGGAGGAATAGGTTTGGCAGCTCCGACCATCGGATTCAACGCCATCGGTTCACAGTGATAAGGGGAGGGGGAGAGGGAGAGAGAGGAGGGGGAGAAGGTGGAGGAGTTGGGGGGGAGGGCGAGATGTGCGGACCAGGAGAAGAAGATGGGGATGATAATGAAGAGGAAGTGGAGGAGGGGGGGAGGGCAATGCCACAAGCATAGCAGTTGAAGTTTGCCTAACGTCAAAAGGGAGGGAGGAAAAAGGAAGAGGTGGAGGAGCCCCCCCGCGTGACGAAGCCGGAACGGGAATAATACATCGGGTGAGGATAAACCGAAAACCTCTGCGATCCAGCAGTTCTGAGGGATGTCTCGGGCGCTGCGGCCTTCTCACTCAGAGCATGCTGGAGCGCTCTGAGAGCGTTCTGGAACGCTCTGGAGTCGCCGCCGCTCGGACGTCCATTCCCCGTGCGTGTTTCGGCTTCGTGCCTGTGTGATGGCTCGCGAGATCATCCAGGATGCCCCTCGATGGCCCTCGCCTCCCATGAACTGCGCGCGTCCGAGCGATGCCGAGCCGAAAGCGTTCTGGAACGCTCTGGAATGCGTTGATCCTCGTCCTCCCCCCCCCTTTCCATGGGCGGCGGCCCCTGGCGAACCTCCGGGGAGAGGAGGGGGAGGGGGGGTGGAGGAGGAGGAGGAGGCCAGCGTAACATCGCCCGCGCCCCCCCCCCCCACCAGGCCTGGCTGTGCGCGGTGTCCTGGGCCACGTTCAGCCGCAGGTCCCGCAGCGCAGCGCGCGCGGCGTCGAGGTTGGTGGAGGGGGGGCGCAGGGCAGAGGCGGGCAGAGAACGAAGAGAGTGATAAACATGGTGAGCGACATAAACTTCTCCGAGGACAGCGATGGTGCAACTCGGGGCCCCCCATCTTTGTAAAGGGTCGGGCGACAAAGGGCGGTGGCGGAGGACAAGCGAAATCGACCGCGTGAGACGGCGACGCGAGGCGTAGTGAGATTGCCAATCGGGCTCGTGCTCGCAGCCAAAAATACCACCTAGGCGCCCTCGCTCATTCAGAATCCCGTGGGACGCGAGCCAACCGCCACACATGGTTCGGTGCCGGGTCCAGGCCCAGGAGGGGTGGGGCGGGCCGTAGGACCGCGCGGATGGACTCCCAATCGACATGCATGATGCTCTCTCTACGCTCAGGCCACCACTTCAGAAGACGCCGCTGGTAGTGAACTTCAAGAGCGGCTGAAGGGGGGGGAAAACAGGCGCGCGAGCTTGGCCGCGCGCTGGCGCTCGCACGGGGCGGATCGGCAGGCGGCAGCCGCGGTGGCAAGAAGAGTGCCGTCAGCGCTGGGCTCCGCCTCGTAGAGCATCTCGGCGAAGGAGGGGCGCCGCCAATGGGGGGGGGGGGGTACCGACGGCCAGCAGGAAGAACCGTAAGACGACGCTGATCGAGTTCACGAGACTGGGGCGCGTCGGTCTGGCGCGCCAGGAAGTCGAAAACCTTTCTGTACCCGGGAATAGTCACGATCGCCGTGCGAGCCCTGGCCGCGGCGCACAAAACCTCGAGCGGGCAAACGTTGGGCCCGTGCCAGTTTTTCAGTTGAGCCCAGTCCCGATCTCGATAAGCTCCCAGCGGCAGCCGAAAAGCCTGCGCAAGAGCTCCGCGCTCAGCAGCGCGGAGGTCAGCTGGCGGAGGAAGGAACTGCATGACGTAACTCAACGCAGGCGTGCAGCGAGCATGGAATAAAACAGCTGACGACGAGGCGGGCGTGTTCCCAGCGCCCGCCGCAGCCGCTCGCGCCATGGACTTCTCCCGCGGAAGTGACTGGGAATCAGCGAGAACTGTGGCAGGCGCGATCCATAGGCCCAGGTAAAAGAGCTTGGGCCCCGCCCGGAAGTCACGCCATTCAGGGATGAACGTCTTCAAGAAATCCTGGGCGCGTTTTTTCAGCACCGAGGTGAAGGGGCCCGAGACAGGAACTAGAACGCACTCAGAAGGTTTCAGTCGTAGGTTGGCCGTCACTTCCGCGATCTTCATCACCCGGCGCGGCGGCGACAAAAAGACGCAGATCATCGATGGCGCCACCGAGAGATCATCGGCGCAGGCGCGATTGATACCACGTCGGGGAACCTCGAAAGAAGGGTGGAGGTCACGAAGAGCTGGAGACAAGGCGGCGGCGAACAGCGACCCCGAGAGGGCACGGCCCTGAATAATGCCCGAGCGAATTCAGAAAGCGTGCAACAGCGAACCCTGGACGGATAGACCCCTTCGATGCCCTCGTACAGGATCGACGCGAAAGAGAGGAGCTGGGAAGGGCACCCTTTCTTGCGCAGTACCAACAGCACGAACTCATGGTTAAGGCTCGGAAAAGCCTGGCCATCGTCCAGGGCGCGCAGCAGCGGGCAGCGGCGATCGGCTTCGGGCCGAGCCGAGTGCACGCGAGACAGAGCGTCCACGTCCACCGGGTTCTGGCAACAAAAATCCCCCCCTTCATAAACCCCCTCTGGTCTGGCGGAACAAAACGAGCAAGCGGCTTGCAAAAAGCGACGTTAACCGTGGCCGTGAGCAACTTGATGCTAGCGTTGCGCAGGCCGAGCACGCGGACAGCAGACGCCCCCCGCTCGAGTCCTCCCTCCCGCGTGTCAGAGTCTAGAGTGCCCTTCGGCAGAAAGGCCTGCAAGGTAATGTTCTCAGCCGAGCGTATCCCATTCCCTTCCATCATCCACCAAAGAGCGCCATGCAGCGTAAGGGGGCCAAACGGATGTGCAAGCCACGCAGCGCAACAGAGGCGACCCACGCAAGGAGCAGAATCACTGACACGAAATGCAACTCTCTTCAACCGCGCGAACGACGGCGGCGGGCAATCGGAACAGTCGGCGGTCCGAACGAAGCGGTCGCAATGCGCGTTGGCAGTTTTGGCGGCCCAGGGTTGACGAGCAAAGACAGGGCCCCAATGAGAGACCAAAGCTTCGTGACGATCTTGCAAACCTGAAAAGCTCTGACCACGGGCGACGACGGCTCGAAGAGTAGGACGACGAGCGAACGGCGCCCAGATCCTGGCCCTCCTCTCAATAGCCTGAAGCATCTGACGCTCTGTATGCCGAACGCCCTTTCCCTCGGCGTGTTCGAGACGAGGCCGAGCAGCGGCGCGATCGAGGTCCAACGCCTTCAGTTGCACCACGTTGGGCCAGCGCTGGAAGGAAGCAGGGTGGACGAGCGCGGCCTTCGAGCCCCCCGCGCAAATGAAATCAGCAGCGGCAGCATGCGAACGCAGAAGACGAGAGGCGGTCGGCACGTCCTGGCGCCAAATAGCGCGCGCTATAGAGCGAGCCAGAAGTGACGACGTGCGCGGGTCCGTCGGGCGGCGAAGCATCAAGACGCCCCTTGCTTCCCTGCTCGCTTCCTGCAGCAACTCCGCATATCGCTCAAGCCTTCTCGGTGGACACATCGCTTGCAAGTGCGTGGATTCAGCTTCAACAGAGGCGGCCCGTATCTGCATAGATTCTCCTGTTTTGGCAGAGATGTTTAGGGGTGAGGCGTTCAGTGGGCTCTTGAAGCTTGCGGTGACCGAAGGGGGCGGACAAAGCGGCGTGGTCGCTGATCTTCGCCCGATGGAGGACCTCCAGAGACCCTTCAACATAAGCCTGTGAATGCACTTGAGCGAGCGCCCAGCCAGGCCAGCCGCGCCAGAACCGGTCAATGGCAGCAACAGCGTTGCCTTGCGCATCGAAGCGAGTGGCCTCAAGAGGGGTGACCTCGACAAGGGGGTCGAGAGCAGCCGCCCAGCGCGACGCCTGTGCGTGCGAGGGGCGGGCCGCCCGTTGGCCCTGAGCCTCCAGCGGTCGCGAAAAGCTAAGTTGTTCCTCGCTCGCGAAGTTGAAATCGCCATGCGCAACTAGCAGCGCATATCCAGGCGAGGATCCCGAAAGGGCCCGATCCCGAGTTATTTGACTGCGCGCGTCGCTTACTTGCCCCGAAGATAAATCATGGCTGTGAATGTTGTAATGAATTAAAGTGGTGTCCTGATTTTGCAGAGCGACACGGATGGCGCGACCAGGGGCGAGCACTTGCAAGGAAGAGGTGGCGCCAGCAGGCAGCGTCGGCGAGGAGGCGCCTCGCGACAAAATGCCAGGAACGACAGTGGCGACACCGCCACGTATCCGCCCCGCACGGTCAGCGCCACAAGAGCTGGAAGAAATAACAGCCTCGGGCAACGCGCGGCGCAGGAAGGCAGCTAGTTGGGTCTCTTACTGGTGGGCCTCCTGGAGGGCGGTGACTGAAGAGCCCGGTCGGAGCCTCTGGAGGTACCCCAATTTCACACCAGCGTGGGCGCCTTCAAATTGGAGGGGGGCTCGCGTGTTCCACGAGACGAAGCGAAGGCCACTGGCTGCAGTGGCGTCGCACAAAAATTGGACGGTCGAGCGTCCAACCAGAGCAGCGAAACGGCGAAAGGCACCACTCAGGCTCACGCTCAGGTTCGATGATCTCCTTGATCGCCCCGACGGGCTTGACCTTCGGCACCGACTACTTGTTGATCGTACCTGGGTTCCAGAGCACACGAGTCGGTTCACGGCCAGGGAAGCACTCGAGCTTGCACAGCGCGCCCCGGCCCAACGAGAGCCAGCCGCGATCCCGATCGAAGAAGACGCGCTGGTTAGCGCCGTACAGCTCCACGAACTTGTTGCGCATCTTCCTGCCAATGACCTCCGTCTCGATCTGCTTCGCATTCTTGTCCTGGGACAGGTGTAGCCTGGTCTGGCCGCCAGCGTGCGCGTCGACGTTGAACTCGCGCCACGTCTTGCCAACGCGCAGCGAGGCCAGCAGCTTCTGGACCCGTCGCGTGGCCAGGCCGACGGCGCCCTTGAGCTTGATGGTGATGTGCTTCGGGAGAGGGTCTGCAGCTGTGAGCTCCCATTGATCAGTGGTGATCTGGACTCCTCAAGCCAGGGGGCCAGCACCTCGTGGACGGCGGTCTTGGCGACGAGCTTGCCCGCGAAGACCTCGATGATCGTCTCATCGGTGTCGCGCGTGAAGGTGTCCGAGCCTGCAACAGGACGAGGAGCTGGCGTCGCAGAGTTGGCGACGGCGAGGGCACTCTGCAGCTGCTTGATCTGCTCGTGCATTTCACGAAGTAATTTGTCTTGCTGATCCACACGGCTGTCGACCTGCATGATTTCCACTTTGAGGCTGTCGCACCGGGTGTTGAGCTCGCGCCTGACCTCGTCGATCTTCGGCGTGGCGGCGGCAACGACCTGGGCGTCCAGCTTCGAGGGCAGCGCATCAAGGTCGGCCTTGCACTTGCTGAAGCACTCGTCCAAGTTGGAGGCGAGGGACTGCTGGATGGTAGTAGCCTCGGCCTTGACGGTGGACGCGACGCAGTCCCCGATGTGCGTGTTGAGCGCGGACTGGTACTTGGCCATCTCCGCACTGAGCTGCTCGGCAACCATGACGCGGATGTGATCAGGGTCGACATCCATCTCGTCATCGGTGTCGTCCATGTCCAGGGCGATGGCTGCAGGGGAAGAGCTGCCGCCAGTAGCACCAGAGCCAGGAGGACGAGCACGACGATAGAGCTTGACGAGCTTCTTGCCCTTGTCCATGGAGCTGCGGATGACACTAGCAGGAGGCGACGCTGGGGAGCGGCGCGCAGGCGTGACCGTGGCGGCATCGACCGTAGCCATGGGTGTGGAAGTGAAAGCAAGACTGGAGGAGGGGCCCAAGTCCTCCAGTGAAGGCACGAAAAGTGTCCGCCTGGGCTCGCGCCCAAGAATGCCCTCTCAGGGAAGGCTGCCCGCTCAAGAATCACTTTTGCCCTGCCAGCTGGTGGGGTTAAAATGGCTTGAGCCAAAAGGGCTTGAGCCAAAATGCCTACGGAGGAGGAGACTGAGGAGGAAAAGGCGGAGGCGGAGGAGGAGGCGGAGGAGGAGAAGGCCAGCGTAACATCGTCCACGCCCCCCCCCCCCACTAGGCCTGGCGGTGCGCGGTGTCCTGGGCCACGTTCGGCCGGGGAGGAGGAGGAGGAGGAGGAGGAGGAGGAGGAGGGAGGAGGAGGAGGAGGAGGAGGAGGAGGAGGAGAGGAGGAGGAGAGGAGGAGGAGGCGGAGGAGGAGGAGGAGGAGGAGGAAGGAAGAGGAGGAGGAGGAGGAGGAGGAAGAGGAGGAGAGAGGAGGAGGAGGAAGGAGGAGCAGGAGGAGCGAAGAAGAAGGAAGGGAGGAGGAGGGAGGAGGGAGGAGGGGGAGGAGGAAGAGGAGGAGGAGGAGGAGAGGATGAGGAGGAGAGGAGGAGGAGGAGGAGAGGAGGAGGAGGGAAGGAGGAGGAGAGAGGAGGAGGAGGAGGAGGAGGAGGAGAGGAGAGGAGGAGGAGGAGGAGAGGAGGAGGAGGAGGCGAGGAGAGGAGGAGGAGGAGCGGCCCCGCGCGCGCCGCGGGCGGCGAGCGGAGCCCTGAGTCGAGACCCTCGGGCGCCGAGCGGGGCATGCCGCAGAGCCCTGGCGCCACGGCGCCCGTGGTCGCCAGGATCTCCGCGCGGGGCCCGGCGCCAGCTTCGCTGCGGGGGCGGCGCGAGGGCGAGCGACGAGGGTCTTCTTCTTCTTCTTCTTCTTCCTCCTCCTCCTCCTCCCCTCCTCCTCCTCCTCCTCCTCCTCCTCCCCGTCCTCCTCCTCCTCCTCCTCCTCCTCCTCTCCTCTCCTCCTCCTCCTCCTCTCTCCTCCTCCCTCCCTCCCTCCCCCTCCCTCCCTCCCTCCCTCCCCTCCCTCCCCCCCCCTCCCTCCTCCTCTCCTCCTCCTCCTCCTCCTCCCCTCCTCCTCCTCCTCCTCCTCCTCCTCCTCCTCCTCCTCCTCCTCCTCCTCCTCCTCCTCCTCCTCCTCCTCTCCTCCTCCTCCTCCTCCGCCTCCTCCTCCTCCTCTTCCTCCCTCCTCCTCCTTCCCCCTCCCTCCTCCTTCCTCCCTCCCTCCCTCCCCTCCCTCCCTCCCTCCCTCCCTCCCTCCCTCCCTCCCCCCTCCCTCCCTCCCCCCTCCCTCCCTCCCCCCCCCTCCCCCCCTCCCTCCCTCCTCCCTCCTCCTCCTCCCTCCTCCTCCTCCTCCTCCACCTCCTCTCCTCCTCCTCTTTTTTCTCCTCCTCCGCCTCCTCCTCCGCCTTGTCCTCCTCCTCCTCCTTCTACTCCTCCGCCCGAGGACAACCCAGACGGGCTCGCGTCGTGGAGGGATCACGCCGGACGCTTTTTGACGGCTGCTGGCCTCCAGGGGCTCTCACCGGGCCTCGGGCCTGTCAACAAACTGCTTGGGTCGAAACACTTGTCTTCGAGGGATCCCCACCGAAGCCTCCTGCGCTTGTTCTCAGAGGTGCGCGCGCCTACCGGAACGATGTGCGCGGAGCCCGCTCGTTGCTGCGCCTGTTCTTTCCTGTGGCAAGGCGGGGATGCTGCCTTTGGCAGTGCGCCCCTAATCTGTCGTTGCTGTATCTAGCGATGTTTAGTTCTGTTATGCTCGATGAGGTTCGATTCTGCTATGCTCCGATCTGATATGTTACGTTGTCGACGGGACGTCGTGGCGCCGTGACACCTGTCACGCTAGATACGTCGTCCGATCGGTCGTTGCTAGGCCTGTTTGTACTTGTGGCCGCGCTGACCTCTGCACGCACTTCGCACTTGGTTATGATATGGTGCGGGCTATTATGATATGAAGTCCCTCTTCAAGTTTGTGCTTCTCTTCTGCTTAACTATGCTATGATATGATCAACTCTGTCATGGTATATATTGTTATGGTCTGATCTGCTCTGCTTTGTGGCATCACGTTCTGTCATGATACGTATGTTCTGTCGGAGTCGGTTATATGATGATATTACCAGTGATGCTGTTTAGGGTATGCCCAGTTTGTAATAGAACATCATGCTCTGCTATGACACACTTATTACACGAAGTGTAGGCCAATCATGTTTTGTTATCTAAATCGTTGACGCAGGGGTAGCAGTAACACAACCAATATGCAATGGTGTGCTGGTTACGGTGTGCTCATTTGTGATATTAAGCTGACTTGAACAAATTCGATTAGTAAGATGTGCTGTGCTATGTTTGCCATGCTGTCGACAAACAGACGTGACGCATTGACGCCTGTCACGATATATACGCCGTCCGATCGTTCGTTCCTGCGCCTGTTTGCTCCTGAGGCAAGGCTGACCTCGGCGCGCATGTCGCGTTTGATTATACGTAATACACATATAATGCTGTGATGCCCCTATTCACATCTGTTTGTCCTCTGTCGCACTATTCTCTCTTATGCTCTTTTCTGTCACAATACGATTCGATCTATTAAATTATGCTCTGCTCTGCGGCACCGTGTTATGTCATGACATGTTCTGTCAGGTTGCGTTATAGTATGCTGTTTGTGTGGTGCTGTTTACGTTACGTCGTACTATGTCCAATATGTTATGCTATGCTTGGTGATGTCAGGATATTCCCCTGCAGTGCAGTAAAGTCTATGATGCTGCAGCGCATGTGTTGTAATCGCTGCATTGCTATATTGTATTGTGTTCGTTGCTGTATTTCATAACCACTGATACCGCGCGCGGTCATGATCTGCTTTGTCATGTTATGTAACGCTCTGTGCTGTGGCGCTGCGGGATGCTATGCTATGCTATATCATGATATGTAATGCTATGGTGCGTTCGGATATGGTCGTTTATGAAGCGTACTGGTATATCATGCTATGTGGTACTATGAACAACTGCGCTAAACTATGATGGAAATGTTTTGAGATAATGTGTATATTCTGCTGTGTCCTACCATGTGCTTGTTTTATGCTTTGTTAAGTAATGCGATGTTCCGGCTTTGATATGCTCTGGTATGCTGCGCTGCTATGCTATTTTATGATCTGCATGTTGGTAGCACGTTATGTCGCGCTCTGGCATTGCATGCGTTGTCATGGTATGTTGTGCTAAGCAAGGTTCTGCTATCAGATGTTACGTCATGGCATGCTATGCTGTGCGATGCCACGTTATTGTGTGACATATTGTGATATGTCATGCTATGCATGCTTCGCACTGTCATGTCATGCGCTGTCATGCTCTGTTATGCTATGATGTCTGATGCTGTGTTGTGTTATGTATGGTCTCCTCTGTTGCAGCAAAAGCTATGTTCTGTGATGATGCGTTATGCTATGCAAAATTAGGTCATGGTGTGTTATGTTAGAGAGAGAGCGCGTTTCACGGGCGCTTGCCTTGGGAACATTCGGCGGTGCGTTTCGAACAGGGGGTGGGCCCCCCTCCAAGGCTCGGCGCCGTCGATCAGAACCAGGGGGACTCCCCTCCCCCCTGACCCCCCCCCCTCCCGAACCCCCCCCCTCCCCGGCGCCGGCGCCGGCGGCCGCCGCAGCGCCAACGCAGCGACGATGACCAGAGAGGGCCCAGGAGGGTGGGGGGGGGTTTCAAACCCCCCCCCGCGCTGGCGCGGGCGCCGGCGCTGGCGGCGGCCAGCAGCGCCGACGGCGAGGACGCAGCGACCATGACCAGAGAGGGCCCAGAGGCCGCAGAGGGAACACACAAATCGCCATATCGAGCCCTCTTATGCTCCTCAGACGCCCCCGAAACGCTTCTGACGGGACCTCAAGAGGCATCCATTAGAACTCTGACCCTTTGCCAAAAACACAGTGGCGGGAAGAGCCGAAGGCCACACCACCACCACCAACACCACCGCCACCACAGACCACCATACCACCACCACCACCACCACCGCCAGCACCACCACCACAACCACCACAACCCACCAACACCACAACCACCACCATCACACAAACCACCTACAACCACCACCGTAGCCACCACTCAAAACGCCAACCACCGCCAGTACCATACACAACCCTCCACCACCCACCAACAACCACCACCACCACCACCACCACAAACCACCACACCATTACCACGACCATCATCACCACAGCCACAACCACCACCTTCACCACAACCCACCACCAACACCACCACCACAAACCACCACACCACCACCACCACAACCACCACCACCACCACCATCACCCACCACCCACCACCCCCCACCCACCACCACCAGCACCACTACCAGCAGCGCCACCACCACCACCACCAACACCACAGCCCACCACCACCACCACGACAAACCACCACGCCACCACCACCACCATCACCACCTGAACCCACCACCACCACCAAACCACAACACAACCACCACCACCACCACAGCCAACACCAACACCAACACCACAACAGCTCACCACCACCAGCACCATCACCACCACCAATACAACAGCCCACCACCACTACCACCACCATCACCACAATCTGTCACACCACCACCACCACCACCGCCACAACCACCACCACCACTACCAGCAGCACAACCCACCACCACCACCACAAACTGCCTCACCACCACCACCACCGCCACTACCACCACCACCAGCACCCCCGCCGCCGCCGCCAGCCGCCGCCGACGCCGGCGCCAGCCCGAGGAGAGGGAGAGAGGAGAAGTAGGGGATGGGGGGGGAGGGTCGACCCCCTCCCCCAAGCGACCACAGAACGCGCTATTTCTCATGCTATTATCTGCTCTACCATTTAATCTTGTGCTCAGTTCTGCCAGGGCTCTGTCGTATTCGTCGTCGGCGCGAAGCGGGCGTCTCAGGGGAGTCTCGGAGGGCCTGAGGATCTGGAGGGCAGCGGTGTGCAGAATGGCCCGGTCGGCACGCGGCGGTTCGCCTCGGGCGATGCTCGGTGGAGATGGGGATCTGGCGGCCGCGGTGTGCAAGGTGGTCGGGCCGGGAGGTCTGTGCTCAAAACCTAGCGACCCCAGCCTGTCACGTGGGGAAAAACTGGCCCCAGGGACAGGGTCAGGGCTTCCAGGGACCCCGTATGGAAAAAATCTGGACGTGGCACGTCTGGGAAAAAGGGCACAGGGCAAACGCGCTCGGGGTACGCAGAAAGCGTTTGGACACCACTGCCGTGCCAGGCCAGGGCCATCCTGGGCCCTGGCATGGTGTATGCGTCCTCCTGGCTTCGGCCAGGAGGGCCTGTACTCCATCCTCGGGCCCAGGATGGACTAGGCCGCGAGGGCGATGGATCAGGCGAGCGTGCAGGGGGGTCTTCCCTTCCTTGCGTTCCTCACAGACCTCTCGCCCTGAAGGACCTCTCTACGTCGACTGTCACGACGACGGAGGGACAGACAACACGCGGCGGCCAAGCGGCGGCAGCAGCAAATGGGGGCGCACCGCTGCGCGTCCGAGTGCGAGTGATGAGGGTGAGGACAAAGGTCACAGGACACAGCACAAAGGCGATCGAGGAATCTGGCGAAAGTTCTACGCTCCATGCCTCCCTGCGCAAGATGTGGATGCAGGGCGCGAGGGGCGGGGGACGGCGGGGCAGGATGCAGTACTACGCGGAATGAGGAACGAAGGGCTTTCCTGGCCACGGCGAGAGCCGGCCACGTGGAGGCTCCCCTACCTGCCCCGGGCACCAGGGCCCCTCCTGATCCCGAAGTGGTGCTTATTTCGACGTCTTGACTGTAGGAGGCATGGTCATGGGGAAGAGCAGCAGCAGGAAGAGGCAGGATGAGGTGGTTGACCGCGACGTTCGGCGCTCGTCGGAGCTCGGCGCTCGTCGGCGATCGGCGCTCGTCGCCGCTCGCCCTTCGCCGCCGTCGTCGTCGCAGCCGCCGTCGTCGTCCCCCTCGTTGCGCCTCCTCTGGGCCTTCGGGGGTGGGGATGCTCGACCCTGACGTCGTCGCGAGGCGCTCCATGAGAGGCCCAGAGGGGGGGTCGATTCGGTGCTGTTGCCGACAGCCGTCGAGCCCGTGCGTTTGCTTCCTGGGCGTCCTGCTCCCTGAGACCACCAAGGAGGAGGACGGGAAGGAGGAGGAGGAGGAGGAGGAGGAAGAGGAAGAGGAGGAGGGGGAGGGGGAGGGGGAGGGGGAGGAGGAGGA